CAGGGAGACTGTGTTAAGACCTATTGAAGGAGGATTGCTTAACAATGTGGCAGACTGATCAACATTCCCAGCACAATAATGAAGGGGTGTGAGAACGCCAGCGTGGAGTGCAGAGAGTTCTAATGAAAGCCGCTCAAAAAGTCACACCACACTACATCTAAATAAGAAAGGGAGGAAAAAAAATTGTAGCAGTGGTGTGATAGGAGGATATAGGAAATGTGAATAGCCCAGGGCAGAATGGGAGATACCACAACTGTTTAGCACACGTTTGGTCAAAGGATGGGCTTCATTAGTCTCTAAGGTGCCACGAATGGCGAGACTTACTGACGAAGCCGGCGAAACGTCTGGGAATGTACCATGTCCACGGTCCGACTTTGGAAATGATCATGCATACAATGGACTCCGGACTAGGCGCGTTCCTATAAGTCGTCCTAACAATATGACTAATTTACGAAAACAAGGTCAAACAACCTCCATACAACGAAAGGAGATTGCGACCACACAAAAGGCCACACCTTCTTTGTCTTCATACCTATCTCTACTTAAGTTGTTTGACCTTGTTTTCACCACTTGATCGTATTGGTAAGAATACCTAGAGGAACGCATCGTGTCCGGAGTCAATATATGCATGATAATTTCTGGAGTTTTACCGTGGACTTGGTAAATTCCCAGACGTTTCGCCGACGTCGTTAATGGGCCTTGCCATTCTAATACCACACCACAACTTGTCAGAGACAAGTGAGGTCTGCTAAACAGTTGCGATATCTCTCCTGTTACGGAGTATTTACCTATCCTATATCCTCGTATTACCCCTTTAATATTACAATTTCTTACTTGTTTATCGAAGCATATTCACACTCGCCGCTGGTTCCCAACATCCACCCCCACCGTGTCTGGAGTGCTGGTCCAATGCTGCGGTTTAATCCGCAATCCTCTGCCTTCCGGTCCTTTCAGAGTGCTCATCTTGCTGCTTCGGAACCTCTTATATGCCTGTCCCAGCACTTTCACTCTATCGCCGCCACCATATCCGTGCTACTCAAGGTGTTATGTTCTACGCTCTGCCTCAAGCATTTGATAGCATGTATAGACCAGCCCCACTGAGGAAGCCCCTAAAGTCTGGAGTCTCAATAGGCATGTTAACCTATCTTGATGTTGCAGATTTCTTTGTCACTGTGCCGCACGTGGACTAAGTGAATATTTTGGTCAAGCCTTTACTTCATGTATCCCGTGTATAAGCAAACTTGTCTAGTGATAGCTAACTATCAAGGGTCTCCACCGTATCTCTCGCTCTTCTGTCCATAATGCAAAGTTTATGACTTTCTTATGCCCAAGACTCTTTCGCGCCGACCCTCAAATGTGATAGGCATACTTTATTAGAATAGGCTCATTGTAGACGTCTCCTCTTAATTTCCGATTGTTTCTCTCTGGTCCCCTTGCAATTTCTTTTCCTAAAATTAAAAATATTACCTTAGTCCAGTTGCTTTCTTCTTGCTGATATTGCTGTTCCCCATATGCATAGTTTTCGTTAATCCTGCCTTTCTCAAGTCTCCTGTTCATTTGATTTCTTTAAGTCAGGATATCAATGGCTTCTCATATCTTGAGCTTTCTTTTATTTCTACTAAATGCGGCCAGTTTTTGTGTCGATTTCAAATCGATTTCGTGTCCCGTCCGTGCGATATGTTCCGCTGTTTCGGATCATTCAGTATCTAAGTTTATGCAGAGTCGTTGGTGCTTCTTGATTCGTAGGCTAATTTATCTTCCTATTTCGCCAATATACTTATGCCCACAGTTGTCGCATTCGGTGCTATAGACTCTCGAGCAATCCAATTTGTCAACCTTTTCGTGTTGCGTCGTCAGGTTTGTGAAGACTGTTGCGCGACCTTGTACATGCTAGTGAAGGCTTAAGAAATAGCACCTGGAGTATAAGCACACTGAAGCTGGAACCGAGTAAAATCGGCAAACCAGAAAGATAAGAAACGGATTAACGAGCCCACGAGAAAGATCCAAACAGGAAGCTCGAGTCGAATCAGCCACTCGAAAGGAAGGGAAGCAAGGCAAACAGCGGGTGTGATGACGCCATGGTTAATTCGACAAAAGGTCACATCTCTTGTGGAATATAAACATGTAAGAAGTTGTGATAGGTCGAGGACGAGGCAAGAGGGTAGGGAATAGATAGAGGAACCAGGACAGAACGAGAAGTGGTAGCATAACCGTTTCGACAGAAAGTTGGTAAAGGGATTGACTTCACTTGTCTCTTAGACGAGTTGTAGTATGGTGCTGAGAATGACAAGACTCAATGACGATGCCGGCGAAACGTCTGGGAATGTACCAAGTACATGGTTTAAGGACCTTAATCGCTAAATAAGTCCAAATAGAATTAATGCAAATGGAGATTTATTCAATATAGGAACCAAAGAATTTATTATATTAAGGAATCGCGTCCTGGTGGGCCAATGATTATGAAGGTTTTTTTCACTGATGCCCCAAATTTAAACCCAAGAAAATTTAAAAAAATTTCGCGTTACTAATCGATTCACTCATCAAAACTATGACGAATGATACATGAATATCTTGGGCGAAATTGATAAATTCTTGCAGGAGTAGTGACAAAATACGCGCATTTAATTCACTCACCTAGTAGATTTAAAATGAGATCCTTCTTGTGAATATATATATAAAGAATACTTGCCTCATATGAACAAAGGAAAATAGATAATTTGTAATCGCTATACCTCAAAATGAATTCCTTCACCATTTAATAAGTTTACAAAATGAACAATTTTCAGAGGGGAGTATAGATAATCAATTCAGGAAACATAGATGGCTAAAATAGAAGTATTATATATATATATAGATATATATGTATAAACGTTGATCCTCAACGAAAAAAAGGCAAATCGCACCGATATCTATACTCTCGACCGCCTTCTCTGGCTTAACTTGGCTCATCGGAGCACTCAAGTTAAAGCGCCGTGGTCGTGTGGATCCGATTTGGCTTCCAGACTCAGCTGACTCCAAAACCACCTCAGGGATATCTGGCAAAGCTAGCAATGAAGATGCTGACGTAAGAGTCGGAGCCGGAGTGGGTAAAGAACAGCCCTCTGAATGTGCCAATTGTGAATCTGTTAATGGAAGATTATCAAGCAGATGAGCCGATTGCATTTGAGCCACTGGAAGTTCCAATGAAGAATCGGGAGTCGATGGCTTTGGTAAAGTTGGAAAGATGCTGGAAGGTGAAGAGTCCGATTGTTCGATGGGTAAAAGCAGGTGAATAACACGGGATACTTGACTATCGGCCTCGATGTTTAATGCCTCTGATGTTGTTTCTGCACCCAGTCTGTTCTTTTCATCAGCAATATCAACAACTGCAGCCGTTCTAGTGAGTGCATCTTCAGCTGAAGAAGTGGTGGATTGCCACCTAGAGCCAGCTGAATTAATGGCCCTTTCACTCTCTTGCTTTGTGGCAGAAGAATGAGAGAACATAATTGTTGGTGGTGGAGCCTCAGTATTTTCTGCTA